ACCCTTGATATTAAGTAAAACAGATAATGAAAAGGCCCCTTCTACCAAGTCAACTCTATAGGCTGATCTATTGTCCCAGATAATCAGTATTCCACGTGAGGCACCTACAGACGGAAGGATTATCCACTCCAATCTTCATTTCCACACACTTTGTCTAGGAAACCATTAATAACTTTTTTTTGTCTACTGTCCCAAATAATCAGTATTCCACTAGAGGCACGGAAGGATTACCCACTCTTTAAATCTGCATTCCCATACACCTCGGATCAGAAAACCATCAATAACTTCTTTTTTTTTTGTCTCTTGTAACATTACTACATCAAGGTTCATTCTCCCAATAACTTCCTTTATTTCTTTCTTTTGATTGGATGCCCTAAACTGTTGTTCTCCAAATCGTCCCTATCTTTTTCTGAGTCTAAAAAGGTGCGCTTTTGTTGTAATCTCTAATTTTTGACAGCACCCGTTTATTCCCCCGAACATATGTTTTGAGTGATACTACAAGTCTCACCTCTTTCCCATTCTCTCCCACTAACCTAAAGTCCAATGCAAGTCATTTGGGTCGTTAGGATATATCCTGATCAAGGGATGTCAATATTAGCTTACTGGCAATGGCTCCTTCCAACAGTATATCACCCTTCAGAGTCATCAATACCTATGTTATTTATAAAAAATATTATTCAATTGGCATCAAGTGGACACCATGTGTAAAACCTTCAAATCTCTTGAAATGTTGATTGAATATAGATAACACTAGACAGATGCATTGTGATCTAACCGTGGTAAAATAAAAAATGGTAGAGGACCTTAAATTGCATCTTATTTGTTCGCCTATGAGAAATATGATCGGTTTTACACGGTTAATATTTCAATATGTAGGGAACAAATTCCACATGCATAGAACAAAATCAGAAACCTTCATTTTTTTCCTTTTGTTACTCTTTCATTTGGAAGTAGAGAAATCAAACAAGAGAAAGCTAACATTTCAAGCCTTATAAACTAGATTTCAAAATGGTCATAAATAACACTTGAAGACATACAATTATGTTTTATTGTACAGTACACAAGTCCAAATATAATTCCTTGGTTTAGCAAAGAGAAAACAGAGACAAAGAAAGAAAAAAGACTATTCTAACCATCTACTCTTTAAACATCTAGCATGAGTAGCGTATCACCTAGATATAATTGTAAATTCATGTGGAAATGAGTATCTCATGTTAATTCAAGCATATTCCTTTTTGATAGCAAATGGACTGCAAGGCAAGACCAATCCAATCTTACAATCTTAGTAAAACTTTTAGCAAAAGCAAAGAGCAGCTCACCAAAGAAAGTGGCTACTTGTCACCTCTTTAACATGGTTGCATGCAGTCACAAAGGCCTATTTCTTTAGGAAACTCAAACAAATTTGTCCTTTATCACCAGTTACATTAATCGTTAGTCTCTAATATTTTCTCATTATGGCTAGGTTTTAATAGATAGGAACGGAGGCTTATGTAACTAACGAGCAAGAATGTGAGAAGAGCAAGGGGAGAGGAAAATGATGGGGTGAAGGGTCAGAGCTTGCGTGGTTGAGAAGCAAGAACGGCATCGTCACTCAAGCCACCAGAAGATGGCAAGATGTTGACTTCTTCAAGCAGCTCCATCTCCACGATTGTAGACCACGTAGCAGCTAGACACGGGCTGAGCCAGCTTTCATTTAGACATGTGACTGCTGCAAATGGAACGGCTTCCTGACAGTAAATCTTGAAGTGCTAAGTGATTGATTCCAGTAAATCTTGGCCTCAACCAACCTGTTTATCCATGCACAAATGTCATTATAACTTTTCTCAACAAAGGTCACCCCATATAGTCTTCTACCATCAAAGAAATTCCTGGTTGTAGATAAGATATCCTTTGACATGGTTACAGTGGAGAAAGAGGAAAATAGCATCAAGATTAGCAAAAATAGAAGAGGATTTTGCAACCTCAATAATATCCCGGGAAAAAGAAATGGAGTGGCTAGTGCGAACGCTTATGGAGTTCTACTGGGAGAAGGGGAGCAATTCGTGGGTTAGAAGTTTGTTTGGTTATCCACACTCATTATAGATAGTGTTAGAGGAGAAGTAGGGTGGAAAATGTCTGGCCTTAACCAAGAGAAGATAAGGAGGTAGTAGGAAAATCATCATCTGAATAGTTTCCATGTTGGTTGCTAGTGGAGAATGCTGGTGGCAGCGTGCGAACTAGCTAGAAAGCCTTTTAAGCCTCCAGTTCAGTCATGAACAAAACAGAGACTCTGTTACTGGGACATTTGTGTCTCCCACAATCATAGAAAAGATAAATGGGCGAGATTTGCTACCTCAACTGTGGGGTTTGAATAAAAGTGACACTGGAGAAGGAGCTTGAGCAGCCGTTTGTTAAGGTGGTTAGCAGAGGAGATAAATAGCATTGGGAAGGGGAGACAAAGCCCAAGTGGAAACGAGTCAACAAAATTTTGGATCTAGACATGGTTTATCAAAGCCTAGGAAACCTGGTCCTAATGCTTTAGTGGGTGGCTAAAATATGCTTAATCAGGCTGGAAGAAGGAAAGGGCCATCTAGAAGGCTACTGTCGAAGAGAATGGAAAATGAGGGTCCCCAGATCCAGGCCCACAATTGGGTGGCAAGTGAAATCAGGAAGAAGAGGAGGGGAACCGATGGCATCGACAATCAGGGAGGACATCTAACTATTGAATGGGGAGATTTGGGATCCACACAACTTTTCAAAATCTAATTTTCTCTTCAATGACTGGCAAAGCAGCCGCTCTCTTACAGAGGAGATGGAGGAAGATTTTGGGAGATCAGGGATGGGGAAGAGTGCAGAGAAGCAGAAAATGGCAGACTTGGAGACGATTGTTGTTCCTTTTTTGGAGTTTGAGCCAATTGTACTGGATTGGAGATTGTGGAGGCATTAACAAGGAGGGAAAGGGCAATGAAGAGGAGGAAAATAAGAGGGAGCTAGCAGTGGTAGAATTATATGAGGGTTGTGGGAAGGGTAAGGAAGAAAATGAGGAGTGGGTTTGAACAATATTCATAGAATAACTAAAATTCTGGGGGTGAGTTTCATTTGCTTCGAAGAGTAAGTTCTTGACTTATTCAAAATTATCATTAATCAAGGGGGAGCAAAGGTGAATTTGGAAACCCCAAAATCAAATCTCGGAAGAAGGTAGGGGTAGATAGAGAGAAGAAGTTAAAAAGGTTTCAGTCGTCAATAAATTATGACAAAAGTTAGTAGAGGGAAGAAAGGAAGAAAGGAGGAATTTTCAATTGTTCCATTATGATTAATAGATTTCAATTCAACAGAAACTCAAATCAAGATGACGATTGGGGTGAGTGGTCTTTGGTGGAACTCAAAATGGCTCTCCAAAGCAAATGGCTTTAGAGGTTCATGAGGGAGGGAAAGAGTTTCTGAAGGAAGGTGATCAAAGCAAAATTTGGAGTGGCGAGGTTTTGGTGGTGTACAAAAACTTACATGGGGACAATGGGGTTGGATTGTGGAAGACAATTGTTAAGAATAAGGGAGCCTTTCAAAGCTGCATTTGCTGGAGAATCGGTCAGGTGAGAGGGTGAGTCTACAGAGGGACTACGCGGAGCTCTTTGTTTAAAGTTTCCCTCAATTTCTGATATTGCTCGAGACAAGGACATCATATTAAAGGAGGTACATCTTGGCCGTGGTGTTTGGGCTTTTGACCTGACTAGAAACTTAAATGATCAGGAGGTGGTGATCTTTGAGGGAAGCAAGGATGAACTGACTTGGAATCTACGCTCCAAGGGACTCTTTCGGACAACTCCTACTACCTTTTTCTGACTAGCCATGAGGAAGAGAAAGAGAGGTTTCCTTGGAGATTAGTGTGGAAGGTGAATGTGGCTCCTAAAGTAACTTCACTGCTTGGGAAGCAGCAAGAGAATGCATTCTCACTCTTGACGAGTTTATCAAGGGAAGCAAAATCTTGGTGAATAAGTGTTACATGTGCAAAAGTGACATGGAGACATGCAATGGTATCTTACCTTGGTGTCCACTAGCACATCAACTATGGTCACTAGCTTCTAGCCTTTTGGGCCCGAGTTGGGCCATAACAGGCACAAAGAGAGGGAAGCCTTGTGTGTGGAGAAGCATCAAAAGTGATAAGTATAACTTATGCCTTTGGCTAATTTTTGAGTTATTTAGAATGGAAGGAATATACGGTCCTTTGAGGGGATGGTTGGTGACTTTGATAAAATTAGGGGACACTTGGTTCTAAGCCTTAAGTATTTTGATTATGGGTCACAACCTCTGTATTTAAGTGAGGTTTTGGAAGACCTATTGATATTTTGCTAAACTTGTAAATTCTTTATATAAGAGTTGCAATCTCTAGGTGCTTCGTAAATAGTTTTACATTTTTATTCAAAAAAGAAAAAAAGAAAGAAAGGTGAATCCAACCATCCAAGTTAGGAATGTCAATCACTGTGGTGCAAGTGCAGTCTGTATTCAGTCTTCTCTTCTCCTTCTAATTTGTTCTCACCAGAAACAGAACACCATATTGCAAAATACTTTATCCACAGTTACTAAACCAGACAACGAAATTTCCTAGTTCTCACAACACGACTTCCCGCAAAAGTTAATTTGAAGAACCAAATTGAATTTACATAACTAATTAAAAACATAAAAGATCTTCATTTTACCATCGATGAATTTGAAACTTCATTCCAGCTTTGTCAAGATCATAACTCCTCTCATTTTCGTTGAAAAAGAAAACTCAATATTTAATATGTTTTCATGTTCTACCCGATTACGAGCAACGGAAAAAGAAAAAATGAAGCTGCTATCCATCTTTCAACACACATTACAAACAGAACAAATAGAAAAGCTAAAAAATGAACGCCAACAGTTACTACTCTGCCACCAAAATACAACAAGCCCAAAGAAACCGATGCTTAAATTTGAGATGGAAACAATGTGCGAAGAAATAGAAAGAAGAAGTGAATTCAAGTGGAGTTTGGTTCATTTACCTTGGTGAAAAAGAGGAGCTTAGGCTTTGGCAAGAGGCGAAAAGAGACCTTTGAGAGACGGCGAGTATTGTGGGGAGGAAAGCTCGTGGTCGTTTTGGTGACGGCTGAGAAGGAAGAAGCTGAGGCCGTTGTCGAAAGAGAAGACGTCATTGTTATGAAGGAAAGTGATAACGAGAATGAGAAGATGATCCAATCTGTAGAATGTTTTTGAGAGAGAGAAGTACAGAGTTCCCAGGGATCCGATGGGCTTGGCTGAGCCCGAGGCAGAAAATGAAAGAAGAAGACACTGGAAAACGGCTCTTTAGATCGATGAAACCGAAGCGAGATGGTGACACAGAGCTAGCTAGGTGTGTGCAAGTTCAGAATTGGTAAAGATTCCCCTTTTGGAATTTTTCTTAACAATTATTTTTAACATTTATAAAAGTATTGTAAAATATATTTTGATAATCTTTTTGAGAAAAGATAGCAATTAAAAATATTAAGAACTAAAATAGTTTTATAAGTTCAAAGTCAAAGTATATTAAGGACATAATTATGATGTAAAAAGTAGTTCGTAAGCTAAAATATTAATTTATTTTTTAAAAAATTATCATTATATTATTTATATAATAAAGTTAAAAACTTTCGTAAATATGTCACATGTTAACTAATCTATATTTTTATAAAAAACAAAAACATATTTTCTATCATTACATTAAAATTTTCATCATGTGCTTAATTATTTTTCAAAATATGAGAAAAGTCTCAAAGCCTATTAGTGTAGAAAATGACACAAATTCAAGTCTTTTTATTTTATTTTGAAATTGCATTGGCGATGAATTTAGTTAATTTAAAAATTAAAATTTATAATTAATTTAAATACAAATTTTATTTTTAAGTATTAAAGATTTTTACTTTACAATTTATTTTTGG